CACGGCACAGTCGTGCTACCGCACGAGTATGCTCGAAACTATGTTGACCTCTTGGGTAAGCAAACCAAGGTCATGTTCGAGGATATGAACTCGGCCGTTATGCAAAGGTGAGCTGCAAAGAAGACCCTGGTGTGCTCCTAGATGTGTCTTGTTGTTTGTTAGACCTTATCGTAAGTACATCCAACGTATTGAGGACATGGAACGTATGCTCCGTGTGCTCGACTCTGAGATCGCCAAGATGCCTGATGTCACTCTTTACAAGAACCGTATCGACGACTTCCTGGACCACGATGATGAGTTCACCCTTGACACCCTAGAGGCTGAGATCAAGAGAGTTTACGAACAGTTCATTCGCTTCCGTGGTAACAACGAGGACTTGACTGCTGAGCTGGACTCTGCCACTGAGGAGTTGAACGTCGTACAGAACAGTCTCAGCTCTGGTTCTGTTGCTGCTGGCACTGGTGCGGCTCTCGAGGCTCCTCTATTGCAGGGTGAGCCCACTGCTCGTGGTACTGGTAGAGAGCGTATGGGCATGCAGTTCTCTAACATTGCTGGCGTTGTGAAGATGGAGGATCAGGAGAGCTTTGCCAGAACGGTGTTCCGTGCTACTCGTGGTAACACCTTCACTCAGTTCACTGAGATTCCCGATACTCGCAAGAGTGTATTCGTCATCTACTTCCAAGGCGCTGCCGCTAACAGTTACATGTCCGCTAAGCTCCATCGTATCTGTGGTGCTGTTGGTGTTCACCTTTATCAATGGCCTGCCACTCATGACGAGGCTAGGGTCAGAATCAACGAGCTGCAGAGCATCATCGCTGACAAGACCCATGCTTTGGCTGGCTTCGACAGATTCATTCGTGATGAAGCCAGAGGCCTTGTCGAGCCCATTCGTGTTGGTGGCAACTCTCGGATTGAGGAATGGAAGTTGTTCTGCATTAAGGAGAGGAACATCTATGCTACTCTTAACCTTTTTGAGGGTGATGTTACTCTGAGATGTGATTGCTGGTATCCTTCTAAGGAGGAGGATTCTATTCGTCGTGTACTCGGCGAGTCTGAATTGGCTGCCTCTGCTATGCTGGTGGCTGATATCGCCAAGCCTAGGCGGCTCCTCCCACCTATACGAAGACTAACGAGTTCACTGCTGCCTTCCAGGCTTTGGTCGATACCTATGGTATCCCTC